TTTTTTTTTTGTTTTTTTTTTAATGTATTTAATTACTGTACCTTCCCTATTTACTTAGTAATGTTTACAAATTCTTTGCTGGGAAGGTTCATTTCTCTTCTTTGGCTAAATTCAAGCCCATATTTTTCAATTCTTAAGAGAGCCCCTGTTGTAGTTAGTATTTAAAAGGGGGCTTGGAGGCAAATATTTTTAACTGTCCCATCTTCAGTAAAGAATTCAAAATTGGTTGCAATTTAAGAGGGAAACTTAACGAATTAACTGAATCGCACTCGATAGAGCTGCTGCTCTGCAAATCTGGCAGAGAAAATTAAGAAATTGAGATCTRTATCTTAAATGTTTCTTGTTGGCTGGCACTAGGTAGCTGTACACAGATTTAAAGTTAGTATTTTCGCAGTGCTCTGGCAGTTGTGAACCCCATTTAACTGACTCTCTCCATGCATTGCTTAGGGGAGTCTGGGTGGCTGACATGGATTCCACTCTGACAGCCTGGGGCCTAAAATGTAAGCGCTCACCTGTTTAAGTGTCCCAACATAATGCTTACTGTAAAAGGGCTTCTGRGTATTACAAATATTACAAACACTATCTCCATTATTAAAATTTGTTCAACAATTTCTAAGGTACTTGGCTGTATTTTAAAACTGCACAATCCCATTCTTTACTCTTCAGCATGGAAAATCTTTGAAGTCCTTGGTCTGAAAGTCCCGATGGCCTCTCTATGGTATGCACAATAACGGTGCATGTTCTTATGATTTTGTCAAATACAAGGAGTTCYTGTGTTGTGATTTCTTGTAAATTTGGCACAAGTCTACTATATTTTTTAAAAAGACAACAAAAGGTGTATGGTGTTTATGTCCTAWACATCTGAAGTTTCTAAAATACTCCTTTTTTACATTTAGTTATTCCAGGTAAAACTGAGGAAAGCGATGACTACATCATTTTTGCATTTACTATATAAATCCAGAGCAAGTCRATTATTCCATATTGACAATACCATATAAAAGGCTATAATTTTTAGCAACTGAGTTTGAATATACAAGTTTCCAATTATTATTTTTTTTTGTTTGCCCAAATAATATATAGTCCATTTTAAAATAAATGTTGTTAAATTATAACAGTATGTAAAGTATTAATATTTGTTATTTTAATTGCTTAAAGCATGTAGGATGATCCTATAGAACTTTGTTTTTATGTGTTTAAAAAATATGTTAAACTTCTAATGCTCAAAAATATTTTGTGAAAAAAAAAGTAGCTGCTGCTTCTTACAGAATAAGTGGCAAAAATGTTCTGAAATAAAAGAATTCTGAGGTTCTTACCATGTTTTCCCTACTGAAAGGGACTAAGTGTGCCTCCAGAAGATTTCCAGTGCTTACTGGAGTTTTCTCAACCAGTGGGCTTGAGCTACTGCCCTACCTTCAGCCCTCACTTGTTTTTGTTTTACTCCCACAGGGCACCCAACAGAATTTTATTTCCATTAAAAGTGGAAACTCTGCTGGGGCCCTGCAATGTTCTAACACATCTGGAGAGTTGGGAACCAGCACTTAAAGAAACTTACTGTTTTTCCCATGATTGATCCCAGCCTACTTTTTTCTAACCARTCATTTACTTTTCTGACTTCCAGATGCATATTATTTTTATAAAAGGACACTAAAGGAAAGGCACAATGCAGGCTTGGGGTGAGATAAGCTATTGTAGGGTGTTAGGTCCACATAGGAAATTAAATGCTATCATTTGTGACATCAGGTAGTGCATTTTTTAAGGAGCTATATGTTGTGGAAGATAAGAGTGAAGAATAAACTGCAAATGTAGTTTTTAAATACTTGATTACTTACAAATATTACCTTTTTTTTTTTCTACAGAGAGTGGTATCTCAACGGTGACTATTTAGTGCTGCTGGTGTCTGTCTTCCTCATTCTTCCCCTGTCCCTACTGAGAAATCTAGGTAGGTAGTGGAGAGCAACCATAATAAAATCCATTGAAAATACTGTGGAGAATTGGGATGATACAATGTTAGAGTCTTGAAATGTTATGTGAATTAACAGCTGTCTTCAAACTTCTGCCTTGGGACTAATTAGCATTTAGGTAATTGCTGTCAGTCTCCTTGAAGAAAATGAAAAAAGAATTCAAGACAGGTATACTAAAATAGAGAAGTGTTTGTGGAGAATGAAAGGACAGCCAATAGGATGGCTTTAGAACAAAGCTCAACAGTAACTGCTTGTCTCTGTTCTTATCCCAAACTTTGGCCTATTTTGGTCAAYGGTAGAATAATATAATATTGTTACCAACTATCCTGTAACAGCCTTCAAAGAATAGGGATGCTAACTCTGGGTACTAATTTGGGGCAATATCTTTTCATTTTAGATCCCAAGCAGTAACATAATATTCATACCAGATGCTTTATCTGAAATAGCTGTAATTAAGTGATACATGTGAATAATTCAGTTAACACACTATTTATTCAGAGAAACCTTAATAACTGAGAGTGTCAATGTGAATTGCTCTCTCAAATTACTATTTTTTAGAAGTTAAGTAAATCAGTAAARACAGAAGTGAAAAGGCTGTTATCTGACACTGCATGCTATTAGAATTAATCCTATAATCATTCATAGTTGTTGCTGTGGAGTTTTTTAGTTTGCATGTTTTTTTGTAAGTTAAAAAGTTTAACGTTTAGACTGGCTGTGTGTATAGACCCTAATGTGTCTTTCAGTACTTTCAGATCTGGGTTGAGATTAGCAGAACGTTAATGAATAATTAACTTGTTCTGTGTAATGCTAAGAAAATGACAATCTAAAGAGATCACTGATGTTTTGCCACAAAGTTTTGACTTGAATGATGTTTCTGTTTATTGTATCTTAAATTTTTTTAATCTTTCTTGATCRCAGGGTATTTGGGCTATACCAGTGGCTTTTCCTTACTTTGCATGGTCTTCTTTCTGATTGTTGTAAGTATAATCTTTCAGTGCTTATAGAACTGCACTTTCAAAGTAAAATTAAACACAGTTTCTGTAAATTTTCACATCTTGCATTAGTCAAAAGTAATAAATGCGTGGCTTTATTTCTAGGTGATTTGGAAGATGTTTCAGATTCCTTGTCCTATGGACAGTGACATTGTGAACGTGACATTAATAAATGCAACACTAGCACCTTTGGTAGATGGAAACATAACRAATGATGATATGTGCAAGCCAAAATATTTCATCTTCAATTCACAGGTAACTGACTGAAAATCAGATGCTCCGTTGAGAATAACTGAGACTAAGTATGTAGCAGATAAATTAGGTCATTTTTCTTTCAAGCAACTGCCCAGTTTTAAGATTGGGATGTGTTAAGACTTTCTGTTCCACTAGACTTGGGCACTGTTAGCCTCATACAGACAGGGTGTTTCCAAATACACAGAAATTAGAGGAACTTGAGGTGCCCGTTTGAGTGGCAAAAAAACACATCTCATTCYTCAGCACAGCATTTCTCAACCTTTCTCAGGGAAGTTAGTGAAGCATTTTAAAACCTAGATTGCAGAAGAAGATGAAGAATTTTGTAAGTGCGTGCAAATAGGACATTTGACTTGCTCTCAGTCACAAATTCTTGACTCTCATTAATGCTCCCAATTATCGTGGTGAATTTCCATACGTGTGTAATACCCAATACCAGGTTCAAATATGGCTTAAGCCTGTGAGTTGCAGAGCATGATTTTGAGTGCAAATATATGCAGCTYAGCATGGACTTCAGTGACATTTGAGGCAATTTGGTACCTCAGGGTCTGAGTTTAAGAAAATACAAACTTTAACTTTTTACAGAGTTTCCATTGTAGAGAATAGCTGATCTTTATCACAAAATAAGGTCAAATGAAGAATCTACTGATGATTTTTAAACTAAATTTCTAATGTCTGTTGAGATACTTAAGGTGCATCTTTTTTTTTTCAGACTGTTTATGCTGTCCCAATCCTAACATTTTCTTTTGTCTGCCATCCTGCAATTCTTCCTATTTATGAAGAACTGAAAAGGTAAGTGTAAGATATATATCTGTAATTTCACCAAAYAATCAAATATAGTATGAAATAGTATGTTCTCACTACTAACAATGTTTCTTTTTCTTTCTTACAGCCGAAGCCGTAAAAGAATGATGAATGTGTCCTACGTATCTTTTTTTGCCATGTTCCTCATGTATTTATTGGCTGCTCTCTTTGGATACCTGACATTTTATGGTGAATGTTGCCTTCTCTGCTTTCTTTTAAATTATTTAAAAATAATAAAATACTACAATTCTACAAACCCACATTTTATTTTAAAGATAGAACAAGCAAGCATTTACTATGTATTCTAAATTTACACTGTTTGTTGGGGGCTTTTTATAGTACTTCTATAAGTGCACACCCCARAGGAGATCAGTAATAGAATTAGGCCCAAGACATAGGATTAAAATTGGATTAAAGCAGATTCCAYGCCTCCAAGTCATCCCTGCGTAAAATGGATGCATTCTTACAAGAGCTCATGAGGCTTTCAATTCATGTTGATGTGACTGTGAAATTTGCTTAGAATCTAGAGCAGAAGTGCACGTTCAAGCAGTATGTCAAACAAATCTTAACTAAAATACTGTTTTCTTTATAGGTAATGTCGAACCAGAACTGCTTCACACCTACTCTGCTTATCTCGGTGCTGATGTTCTCCTTCTTATTGTGCGTCTCGCTGTACTTATGGCTGTGACCCTCACTGTACCTGTAGTTATTTTCCCAGTAAGTCATATTTTATGTCTTGCTACTATTTTTTTAATGCCTGTACTGATGCAATCATTTACTGATTTGGCAAACCCCATTTATTAATTGAGAGAGTTTTTCTCTTAACTGAAAAAGGAAATTTATTCTAATTGGCTTGATGATTTATCCTATGCTATTAATTCAGTAAATATGCAACATTTACAAAGCAGGAGGTACAGGTACATTCTGTTATATTGTTTTCCTATTATGGTTATATTGGGGAAATGAAACAGATTTCCCCTTTTTGAAAGTACTTACCCTGTTGTATTACGAGCTTGCAAAAGTCAGCAATGATTTTGTAACTACACTGTGGACACAATTTGGCCATTTGTGTGCTTATTGTTGAGCAGTATCCTTACATGTTACAAAATTTCCTGGCATTTTTTTCTTGCTCAAGCCAAATGTTTTTCCTTGTTTTTTTTTCTCCGTGTTACTTTCATCTTTCACCTTCTATTGAAATCTGAAGCATTCAGAACAATGATGTTAAAATACTTTCAGAAGGAAGGTCTAAGTCAGGTGACAAATACACTGTCTTCTGAAATGAAGACTAAACTATCTTTTTTTTTTTTTTTTCCTTTTTCCTTCCCTGACCCCTGCCTTACAAAGATCCGCAGTTCCATTACCCAGCTGTTGTGGGCAGGGAAGGAGTTCAGCTGGTGGCGTCACTGTGCCATTACCATCGCCCTTCTGGCATTTACCAACGTGCTCGTTATCTTTGTCCCTACCATTCGAGACATCTTTGGATTCATTGGTAAGMATTTTCTTCCGAGATCAAGCAGTCTTTCACATTTCACAAAGAACAGTTCTAATCTAATTAGGATATGTTTACCTTTTGATTTATATTTATTTTCATGCTTTTCCTATACAGGTGCTTCTGCAGCTGCCATGCTGATCTTTATACTTCCTTCTGCCTTCTATATCAAATTAGTGAAGAAGGAACCAATGAAGTCAGTGCAAAAGATTGGGGTATGTATAGAATAATGTGTAACTACACTTGCTTACTAATTCAAAGCAAAAAAATTTAATTATCTTCTTCATGATTCATTAATTTTGAAGTACTGGCAAAGGTAGTTGGTGAATTGGCATTTAATGCTATCTTGCGCAGTTGCAAGGAGTTGCATAGGAACTCAAAACCAAGGAACTGACCATCACAAGACTCAGTTCACTTCAGTGATTTTTCTCAACCCCTGGCCCCCAATTTTAATAGTAGTTGGGTCATTCTGTTGCTTGTAAGAACCAGACTTCAACAGAATACCCTGAGAGCTATATTWAAAAAGTCTTAACATTCTTCAAATATTCTTTTAAGGCTTATTTACATAATTTTCCCCATAAAATCTCATCTCTGCCATTTGTTTGGGTTGATTGTTCTTGGTGCTCTTACTTAGTGATCATAGACAAGGTGACTCAGAATGAAATCAGACACACTGACACAGAGTCAAGTCAGCACAGTGGCACAGCCTCACTGCTATCAGCAGCTACATTAACTTCCCTTAGTTGAGGGTGAGTCTGGTATACTGAAAATAAATGTACTTTTTGATTTGATAAAAGACCCCAAATAYGAGAAGGATACTTAGCTCCTTGTCATTGACTTTATCTCGTCTCTTATTTTGTCCTCCGTGAGCAGTGGCATTTGTGCTATACGTGGGCATGAATTTGTAGGTGTGTGTTGTRGTTTAATTAACACTGTCGTAGCAGAATCTGAAATACTTTTATGTTTTCTTTTTCCAGGCTGCATTCTTCTTTCTAAGTGGTATACTTGTGATGACTGGGTGTATGACACTGATTATTCTAGACTGGACCCAGAACATTACATCTGATGGCCATTAACTGCCCTGGTTTAATTTCTGTAATACTCCACTTCAAATGCCAGTGTTCACTCAGATACCTACTGAGAACGCAAATGAGCTATTCAGCTTCCTTTAAAAGGCAGATTCTTTGTTGATGGTTCTTCTGATTGTAGAATATCTGAACTCTGTCTTTAAGAAACTATTCTGCATGATGGAAGTGGATATAAACGTCAAACCACGTGAGTGTCTGGCTGAAGGAAGTGACAACTTTATTCCATTCCAGAGAATGGACAGAACTCTCTGTAGACTTTTATCAAGCCATGTTTGGCTTTCGTCATTGTTACTTGGATATTTTGTTATTTTACTTGAATGTGCCTAATGGAACCATTTGATGTGAGAAAGAACTCTTTAATTTGCAGCAAAGTGTTTAAATAACCAATGAGAGAGTGAGAGAAAGAGAGAAACACTATTATTTTTTGTACCAAAAATTCTTATGGACCTCAAAAGCACTATTTTGACTTTAAGAAACATTTTTTCTAAAGAGAAGGAAAAAATAACATAGAAGAGCTCAGAAAAAAATATTTAATTAGTGTCCTAAATTAAATTTAGTTTGACTTCATYTCTTCACTCGTGTCACAAGTGACAGGACCCGAGGAAACAGCATGAAGCTGAGTCAGGGAAGGTTTAGGGTGAGTGTTAGAAAAAGGTTTTTCACCCAGAGGGTGGTTGGGCACTGGAACAGGCTCCCCAKGGAAGTGGTCACAGCACCAAGCCTGGCAGAGTCCATGAAGTGTTAGGACAACGCTCCCAGGCAGGTGTGGCTCTTGGGGTGTCCTGTGCAGGGTCTGGAGTTGAACGCAGTGGTTTTATGGGTCCCTTGCCACTTAATATGTTTTATGATTCTGTAGAGGCATAATTAAAAGAAATTTTATTTTAAAAATGCTTCTAATGACCAAAACAGAAAATGAACCAATTCAGGTCAAAATTCTCTGATACGACAGGCTTCCCATGAAATTCACTYAGTTTAAATGAGAGTGAAAACAATCCTGAAAATCATTTTTCAGCTTACGTAAGTAACTAGAGTTACCAAAAATGGTGTCGAAATGCAAATTTTTCAAACTTTAGATAAACCCACCCTTTAGAAAGGGGTACATTTGAGAAAAGCATAGGTAATCTAAAATTGTAAAGATGGCATTGACACTTCCCTTCTTGAGGTACTCAGTAGTGCAATTGAGTAAAACAGGGTTTGGGTTTTTTGCTTTTTTGGTTTTTTTTTTCCTGTTGTAGATAGAAACTGAATGGCACTGGAGCATATGATGCCATTAATACAAAACTCCCCCCTCAAGTTCCCTTTATTAATAAGGTCCATTGTCAGTTGTAGCAATGTTGGAGTTTTTTCCTATCCAATCTATCTTGAAACACTCTGTAGAAAAATGAAAAAGTCCTAATGTAGTCTGCTAGTTGTATAATATTCAGAAACTGTACAGTATTTCTCAAATTCCTCATCCATTACTGGATTTTGAATTACTTGACTATTCTGTTTCTGAGTCAAATCCACAAAACAACTGCACCAATATTTCATGCTTGGTACAAACTCTCTTCACATACRCAACTGGGATTTCCTCTTCCAATTTATACTGTGTAGTAGTATTAAAGATAACCTCATAGGCTGGATAGTCATCTCATACTTGTTTGCTTCAGAAATAGTTACGTTTCTAACGAGCCCTAGCTGATGAAACAGGTGCTGTATGGTTGTGATGAGCTMTTTTGTTTCTAGTGCATGTTTACTCTTTCATTCTTGTCCCAGGTTGAAGAGAGGTAACACTTGTGTAACAGCGTACTTGGCTTTTAAGAGGTTCTCAAACACAGCAATATTGGGTACAAAAGCCTAGATAGAGATTATTGATGAAATAGTCATGGCAGTGTGGTCTTCGTCTGACACAATGTTTTAAAAATCTGATTTGCAAAGTCCCAGTCATTGTGTCAGAGGGAGCAAGTAAGGGCCTGTAATCCATTGATTAAGCAGTGCCTGAGACTTTTTTGCTCTTACAGAATTAATCAGAAACAAATCTAAATAATTGTCACCATTTGGCAGATAATGTCAATCTCTGCCCAGCCATTTAAAATCTATGGAAAAACAACTGCAGGTATTTTGTATTGATAATTCTGCATGACTGTAAGTACTGGACACTAAGACTATAGTGTAAACTAATGACAAGTTAGATTCCTTTTGTGTTGTTTGTATTGTTAATTCGGTGGTACTCAACTGGCAATTAATGATCCTAGAGTCAGCACTGACTAACTCTCCGTAGGTACTTCTCTGCCTCAGGTACTGTACATCCATGGCTAACTATCCCATGTTACCTGATCTCCATGTGAGTGCTGAGCACGTGCCTCCTCAGTACTTTGGCAGCTTTTCTTCTTCCTCCACGAATGTGCAAAGGTGGAAGAGGGTTAAAATGTTGTCTACCTTTGAGCAATTTGTAGCACATAAGGGATGAAGCGCTTCCCTTGCCAGCATTAAAAAGAGGAAAGAGAGTGAGAAATACCCTCCTTTCTCACAACAACCGTACAAGAGGAAGGAGTTGTAAGTGAGAAGTTACTACAAAGTCCTTGGCAACCAGAAGGGAGGAAAATTCTTTTGATGACACCTCATAGTGTATTGTACATGTCACTAATTCTCTGAATGTAGCAATTTCCAGATTATACATTGTGTGTGTATATAATTTGATGACTGACTCTCCACCTGCAACAGTTGAGTTCCACTTGGCTGGGTCGATTTCCAATGTGTGATTTTTTTAAATTMTTTTTTTCCAAACCTGTCTGTTTAAAGTTACCTACATTACAAACCACCTAAAAGAGCAGCTTCAGTATTAAACCACTGTTCTGTCACCTCAGTTAGACATTACTGTCTTCCATGATATTTCAGTCATAAATGTAACATGTTATTTATAAAGCATTAATCCATTAAAACTAAAACTATTTTTCAATATTTATGATAGTCTATGTACATAAATTGTATGTGTGTATATACTGTAAGTATAATGTATATAATGTAGGCTTGGAGTCCAGGATTTATGTATATATTCCTCTCTCATTACTGATTGTTACATCATTTCAAGGACTTGTCCATGTTGTACATCTGTATAACAGCTGTCAAAGGAAAGAGCCTTTTACAACAAAGTGTAATGCTTACAGAAATGAAAGAAGTGTATTACACCTAAGGTGTGTAAGAAAACACTAAGATTGTATTTATTACAAATGTATATGTTGCAATAAACACAGGAATCACTTGGGTCCATAGAAAGCATTGTTCAGGTTCATGTATACTTTCTCTTTAAAATTTGCCATGGATGCTACGATTTCCTGAACGCAGCGAGTTAACAACCTCTGTGATCTTAGGCTGCTGAATTCGGGCATCCTGCGGTACATCCGTGTACATATGTAAATACCCACCTTCTTGGGAGAGGCCGGCAGTCTAGCTACMGTTGCTGGCAGACTGGTGGCCAGCAACACAGTTTCAATGAAACATGTATGTTTGTTTTAACTGAAATAAATAAATAGATAATCCTAAGCAATGGTGTGATGTTTTTCTTGGGGGAGGAGTTTGGAGGATATTCTTTAAAGATAATGTTAAAAGTGTACCTTTAATTTCATGCATATGTAACTTACTGAGTGCTTTTCAGGAAAGAGGGGGAAAGAACAAATGGCACACAACTACATTCACAACTTATGATCCACAACTTTACCCTACAAGGGTAAAGAGAGCAAGTCTGGGCATTAAAATGAGAAATTAAATTCTACAAGAAACCTGTATTACATAATTTCTTTTGTGAAAAAGGCATAGCTGGAAACAAGATCAATCTGTTAGATCTTGTATAAGTGTAATAAGTGAGCCTTGCTGAAATCTTATGCCACTTTCCTTCATTTGAATCTCCAGGAGACTTGATGTAAAAAATTTCAAAAGTGGTGTGTCTGGTTTGCTTCTATTTTAGAAACTGTTTACAAACCAAGTGCAGCATATCTATTCTTAGTTCTCCATAAATCTATATCAAGTCATATGAATATCTGTCCCAAATAGTCAGAACTGGGTGACTGGACAGATACTCCAGACACTGGGATTGTAACTTGGTGTGTCATGTGTACAGCAAGACAGTATACAAAAGGAATATTCAAGGATAATTAAATGTTCTGAAATTAGGAAATGCCTCAATTATGGTTGCAGTAATTACATAGTATTTTTTTCCTGGAATCCTCACTTAGTTGCTGTTCATTATTTTGTTTTTCTAAGAGGCTGTGTGTTCACAGTGTTTATGTGTTTGCTCAAAGTCCGAAGCCCATCCTGATGAGGGATGAATGTCTTCATTCCTTTCTAGTTCTCATTTTAATGTCGTCTTTGTGAAACATGACTTACTCATTTTCACAATGTTGCAGGCCTTTGAGAAGGCATTAGTATACAGCTCTGGGCACCTGGGGCGTGGAGGGGCAGCACTGGCACAGTATTTCAGCCCACAATTTGATTCCTCAACTTGCTTATTTTATATTTCAGTATTAGCTTGCATGCACCTGAAGCATAACTTTAAATAGGTTTTTTCATGATGATCATTCTTGAAACAAGAACCCTAAGCACCAGCCCAGGCATTTGGAGAGGGTGGGTATATCTGGAAAGGCTCGTTCTCATCAGGTGCCTGCTGTCACACAGGAGCTTCAGAGCTGCTTGGAACGCTGCTTGACAAGCTGAACAATTAAGCTCACCTTTACTGTCAGGCAATTCCATCAATTTAAACAACATGAGAAGCAGTCTTTTCTCCATAGTTCTTATTTCTCCCAAGAACAGGAGCATGGCTCATCTTGTGGGATGAATGAGATGTTGCAATAATTAAAAAAAAAGGGAACTGAAATTGGGATGTTGTCTAGAGCACCATTATTTGAGCCTYTCTACAAGGTCTTTGCTCCAAAAGACAGTCAAGTTTATTCAAAATGCTGAGCTTTGTGAGTGTCTTGAGGTCTGTCCAGGTGACAGATGGCACCTTTCACTTTCTTGCAGTTGCCCTGAAATTTGCTTTTTTTCCCTGGTCTTGCCAAGTCTGTCCTGTCCCAAGGTCATGCCTAGAAATCTCACCCCGCAGTGTTCATGCAGCAGCTGCATCCTATCAGGTCATGCCCTCAGGTTCCCTCCAGCTCTTCAGCAGCCCAGAGAAGCCCACTGCCAAACTCAGTTTGGGCAGCTCTTGCCCCTCAARCCTTTGCCTGAACACAAAGCTCTGCTGTGGATGATGGCCGGGGCAACTTTTCCAGGAAAAATGATTTATTATTTTACTACGAGAAAACATACTCTTTTCCCTGATTTTATTCTCAAATGGGCCAAATCACTTAGTCTGATTGTTTTTCCACACAGATGCACAGAAACACCATCCTGCTGCAGTTACTCAAGATGCAAAATGTCAGGAGAAGCATCTGCAKCTAGGTATCATTTGAAAGAACAGAAACATACTCCAATAACAGAACAGTCAGGTAATCTCAGTTTCAGGTGGCATAACCAGCCATGTTTGAAAATACTATTTAAATTAGAAATAAGTGGTAATTTCAATTTTATTTAAAGTTTACCTAGAGAAAAAGGAAAAAAAGGTTTTCCAGTTGCAGAACATAACTTGATAGGTGATATATGCTGGATAGGTACTAGCAATAATGTAGAAACTCAGTACAGGTCTTGGAAAGGAAATGTAGCTTATATAACTAGCTTTTTTGTGATCTTTAATAGTCTTCACATCATCTCCAAGCAGCTCAGATTGCAGCAAAATTAAATGGAGCCAAGTGAGGCGCCCTGGATATTCCCAAATGCTCAGGAGTCATTGGGTTRGGGCTAATGTGGTCAATCACACGTCTACTTTTAGTTAAAATAAATACCAGTTGAACCTCCAATATTGCTCCTTCCTGCTCACTGCAGTGAAATGATTCAGCGTGCTGGTGGAAWGTACCTTGGAGCTGTGGTGACTCCACAGAACAGGCAGGTGCCATGAGGGGTGGCATGAACCGCCCTCCAGGCTCCTCACCCTGCCTGTGGCACTGTCACCCAGGGGCCCCGCTCCCCAAACCCCGCTGGGGACTTGGGCAATCAATAAAACAAGCAGGTGCTCCTGCTGTGAGCAAGCGGTAAGGAGCATGCCCCAGCACCATGGCTGAGGAAAGCACCTAGGAAACTGCTAAGATGGGGATCMAAAAGGCTATAGCAAAGACTTAACTTTGACAAAATGTAAAGAGCAGCCATGTAGAGCATGAGCATTTTCCCTCTGTCCATCGGAAAACACTGGCAACCAGGAGACCTTCCAAAGATTGGTTTGAATATAGCTGCCCCGAAAATATTTGCATTTGTTCTTGCTTTTCTGACACTACTGGGGAGGCATCCACGGTGAAACTGTTGCTCTATGGGGATTACTGGACTTAAATGAAAAGGACATATGAGGGATGTGTTTTTCTGGGAAACAAGTGAGGAAGTTCCTAAGAGCACCAGCTGCAGGAAACTGTCACAAGAAGCTGCTGAAGTTACCAGGGGCCAGCACTGGGTGCAGGCATTTCCTGCCGAGGAGTAGCAAGGCTCCTGCATCCCTCAGCCTGCCTGCAGAAATTGAGCCAAAATATCACCAGTAAAATCTGCACTAACAAGGATTGGCCACCCCTGGGACTGTCCATTGCCTACTGCCATCACCCAGCTGAGAGGGACTGCACGTTTTCTATTTGTTCSAGTTTTGGCACTTGCATTCTTCCCGAAGATCAGATCCCAAAGGTCTCTTTCTTGCCTTACTGCAAACATAATGTTTCCAGGCACAAACAAGGCTTACATTCTTCCAAACAGAATACTAAAACCATGGGTGTCCCAGGAAACATTTTGAAGTAACCAAGTCCTGCTTGATGTAATGATCACAGTTT